ATTAACAAGAATATTAAAAACGGTGATAATAATACTCTAATAACAATAATAATAATAATAACCAAGTTGTGTTGAGATGATGCCTGAATGATGGAATGTTGTAAGGATTGCAGAATGTTCATATTGGCATTGGCGTTAATAGCTGACTGTGTGATGGCCGAGAGTCGTTCGGTGTGCAGGCGTTGTATCTGCTGCTTGGTATCTGGCTCACGCAACACCTCCTCAGCCATTCTTCAAGTTCACCACATCAGATCATTCACACAACAATCAAACAAGCGCAAAACTAACCCAATAATCTGCTGCTTGGTCAGTTCATTGAGCTTGGTGTCGATCTGCAACTTACGATTGCCCTCCTCATCACCACTCTCCTCCTCTTCATCGCTGTAATCGAACTCCTTCGACAACAAACTCTGTAACATTCAATATATCAACTTCACAAACTTCATCTCAACATTCAAATACCTTGATATTGCCATGTTGTTTGTTGGCATCGATCGTGTGTCGTTCAAATAATTTCGTATTGACGATTTTGTTCACATTTCTCAACAACTGCGAATCCGACGTGAAAATACCTCCGAAATCGAGACCCATCGTCTTGAGCATCGACAACGTCTCTTCTTCACTGATACAGCAACAGCGATCTTCGTTTTCGCTTACGGTAGGTTTCATTTCTTGCGGTTGCTCTTGTTCTTGTAGTGATGTTGGTGGGGGTGTGTGTGCGTTCAATTCCTTTATTATCAGTCAGTTATGTTTAAATTGAAAGAGGCACATATGTAATACCGTTTTTGTGATGGGTGGTGTTTGCGGTTCGTTGTTGATTTTCTTTTTCATTGGAAGCCGATTATAAATGGACATATCCGCCTCACTGCCCTTCACAGCCTTCTCAACTTGTATCAAATCAGTCTCTGCAATCAAATTATTCTACTCAATCAAGCACAACGCCAATCCAAAATGAACGCACCAAGACCATGCTGTAATCTGCAGTAATCCAGCCAGACATCCACCTGTGCATCACTAAAAACACTGTGACTTTTCCATAAGTTTAGTACTCGTACCACTTTTGGCTATAATGAAATCACTTTACTTTACGCTCAACGATAAACCAAAGCCAATCAAACAGAAGCAAACGAATAACCTTATCCTCACTCCTACACAAGAGTAAATTCGATAAAGTCGCTGACATATTGACCGCAAATCTCGGACCGAACACGTCTTTGTCTTTGAACTGATGACGTGACTGTCTTATTATTGAATCAATGCAATATAAACCAGGAATTTTATAATCTGCTTTACACTGCAACATTTCTTTCATTATTCAATTCAAACGCATCACCGTCATCTATCTTCGACACCAAAAACTAATTTTGAAATAAATCACAAAAAACCTTAATAATGAATTTCTCCACACAAAAAACGACGTGTTTATAGAATTTGATGGCCCTCATCGCTGCCTTCGTAACATCGACTATTTTCTTCTTACTTATCGGTGGTTTTATTTCATATAATGAAACCAACTGAAATATTATTATCATTATTTGTGATCAATATCTAAGAATGCGACAATAAATTACTTAATACATATGAAATAAAGATTACCTCCGCGTTAAACGCTTTTACAACTTCACTTTCCATTTTCAATTGCTTATCAGGTACAACTTAAAATCACAGATGGATAGTCGATTCGATGAAAGCCATAAAACCAAATACAAAACCTATAATGCATAACAGATTCAACTATTCGAGACACTATCAAACAACCGCACTATGCAACTCTACAACCGCATTATACAATTCAAATTCTCTGAACAGATTCAGGAAATCAGCTGAACGACGACTCGATCGTTTAATTATCAGCCACCAAAATTTATTTTATCCATCAAAGGTATCAAATGAAGAAAAAAAANAAAAAAAACACGCGCGTTGTGGTGACGGGCATTTAGTTGCGTGACAAGTGGCACCCTTACGGAATAGTTCCACCGGCTATTTAGTTCCCTAAACATCGTTTCGGTTCGATTTCGAGCAATGCCGATGCCTTACCACCATTTTGTGATACATTATGATCTCATAAATTCACTCTGATTTGTTTTGATGCGGTCGCTTCGGTACTGCTCAAAATCGAACCGGAACAAGGTTCAGGGAACTAAATAGCCGGGAACTACTTTGTAAGGGTGCCACTCGTCAGTGTACTAAATATTCTGCACCCGCGTGATGTTAGCAAAGGTTAGCCATTGCGAACGTGAATCGCATGCGAACTCTTCCTTCCGGAACGCGGCATGTGACGTTTCGAAATTTAGAAACGTTATATTTAGCCCCAGACTGAGGCTGCGATTCTCTTTGGAGCTGATTGCTGCAGTGTCATTTCGTGATACCTCTGAATTACTGATCACGAAATAATGAAGTTGAATGACTGAAGTTGTTGTGCATGTGAATGAGTTGTAGAGAAGGGTTGCCAAGTAAAAGCATAAACATTTACTGCAGTCAACAGATGATAAAAACGAGATCAGATAACATAACAGGTAGTTTAATGATAATAATCAAGATGGAATGTATTCAGCGATCGAGATAGATAAATGGACACATTCTTCATAGCGAAGCCATTGTGCTATATGCAACCACACTTGGCCACGATGAAATCGTTGAATATCTGTGTGGATTCTTCACTTCTGCAAAAATAAATGATCAACAAACACAAAACTCTCAATCCCCTCTGACAATCAACGACGAATAACTAACGTTCCGTGCTTAACAGTCACTGTCAGAGGGTCGAATCTGATCGGAGCACAGCACGGAGTCAAACCGAACGAATCTGCATGTGCATTCATAAGTTCTGCGTAAAAACTCTGATATCCGTTATTGTTATTACTGCTATCATTGGAATTATTGCTGTATCCACCGTATTTGTTACAATGTCCAATACAATAGTACCTTAACTTGTTTCTGTTATTCGTCACAACATTCACTTTCATGAAAGTGAGCAATAAAAATGATGACAATAAAATACCCCCTGACGGAATTGGGATGTTTCGAACCCCATCCACTAAGCCGAGTTTCACTAAAGTCTAAATGCACCATACGTCGACAACACTCTATGTAATCAGCGTTCGAATTATCATTATGATCATATACTCTTCCACAATCCTCCATACCCTGTAATGACTATATAGCGAACAATCTTATTTTGCATTCATTATTTATATTATTAAACAATTTAAATATTCAACGAAATAAATCTAACTGAATTCATCTCTTTGGCTCGTCGATTTTTCGAGATGTGATTATTGAGCGAGAAGCTGATATTATTAAGATTGATATCAACGAAATGGTCAATCATCGATATCAAATTCGATGCGAACATTTTTGCGTGCAATCGATCGAGCACGTTAAATAACTTCATCGGTGCATTTGTCTGCAGTTATCGTTTATTATAATTGCGTTTGTTCGTTAATTTTATGCATTTCAGAGGGATTGTGGCCATTGTAAACGACAGAATACTTGAGGGTGGGTGTGCATATGATTCGAGATCTGAGCAACTGAAGTGACTTCAACGATTTGTTCTTTATCGCTCATTACCACATCAAATAGCATGATGCACTACTCGTATTACATCAAATCCACTCGTTTCTCTCGTGATGCAGTACGAATCGATAAAAATTTATATTCAAAAACAACTAAACATATATAAATCCCTTATTTATTCTAACTTCTATCTCGATTACATACAACAATTCAATCCAAGTACATCAAATCCATCCGGTACCATCACAACTGCAATGTTGTTGTAGGGAGAAAGCAACCGTGATGACGTGATAAAAGGATAAACTTCGGCACTTGAACCACCCTTGCTGAACTCGGAATTCAAGCTCACGTCAGAGTCTTACGTGAACGCATGGTATCCGGACGAGTTGTACGGTGTGGATGCATGCTTATTATGCGTCATTTAAAATAATCAACAAAATATGAAACTAACCGAATGATTGCATTTGCTCGTACAAATGGAATGTGACGAATCAACGACAATACAAGTGAATAATAAAATGCGATAAAACATAACCATAACAGCGATTCGAGTCAATAGAGTCAAGTGTGTGCAAATGATACATGCGCCTTTCGACGATCAATTTCAACGAGAGAGAAGAGAACGCAACATTTAATTAAATTCATCCTCTTGCATTCCTTACGAATGAAAAACTTTATTGCCTTTTTATTACGGCTATATTTTAAATGCGCTTCGATCGGCTATAGAAGAGTTTCCGGGTTCCGCAGTCATATCCCTTCCCCTAAGCCGCCCCGAAATTCAATCTCCATTTTGGCTCTGCTTTGAGGGAATGAACTCATTCCTTAGAATGTGGAAATGATAAATAATAAATATGGTATGAATGAGACCAGATGAACGTAATTAATCACTGGAATTAGACAGATGAATGATTTTTAAATATACTAATAACTAAATTCATTTGAGACAATGAGATCAGTTCGATTGTACACCATCAGATGAATGATACATTAATTGGTATCTCCACTGCTGTCTGCAGTCCAGATATCCGCACTTTTCTGCTCACTTTCAGTCGTTTCACTCTATAAGTTTCATCCGCTTATTCCACAGCTCACTGACAATATTATTCATATACAAAGTAACAATGAGACGACGACCTGTTTCGAATTCTTTTCATCAGCAGCTAACTGCATCAGTTTATTGATGGAATCCTGTTGCATCTGCTCTAATTTCATCAATGAAATCGACTTCAAAGGTATCAACTTCGGCTTACAGAACACCGGACTTAAAGCCTCATCTTTGAATAACACTCCGTTCTGCGCACCGATCACCTCCTTCAGTGTGTGCTGTTTGCTCATGCTTGCTATTACTATAAATTAAGCACATGCACTTACTTCATTAATTGCATTCCAAACCACCAATTATGTACCAATCAATTTTGGTAGCGTACCATTGCTCAGTCAATACGAAAAAATGCTCGTTAGTCGATGGATCGCATAACGACAAAACCACAAAATAAGTTTATTAGCGTAGCACATAAAATTGATAATTACAATCAATATGAACAACATCCAACAGAGATTCATTTCAATTAAACTGACAATCAAATAAATTAGCTGTGAAATGAATTACGATAACATTACCCTTAATGTGCAGAATGATTCTCAGTCAATTTTGAACACTCAATTTGATCATAAACTCGTGAAATTCAGATGTGAAAAACCCAATAATCCCTACTCGATAAGCAATGAATTTCAATTCCATCGGTGAATCAGAATCACCTTCCATCTTCTGATATGATATTACAAGATCATACTATACAACAAATACATCCATAATAATAACGTAATCAAGAGATGATAACAAACGAAACCTACTCATTTGCTCACGTTTAAAAAACGACGTTAGCCATAAGACACAAAACAAAAACAATTCAGATTCATACGATATCCATTGACGTAAAACGCTCACGATTATCAATTAACAAATTCATATCAATAAAAATGACATTGCAATCATCATCAAGACATCTCCACATAAAATCAAATAAATTAAAGAGGTCCAACGAACTCAAATTCCCGTGCAATGTTCAGAGTGCTTTCAAGAAGTTGATTCCTAAGTCGCCATAACGCCTTGACGATATCTTCATCTCGGGCACCTTCATCCTTCGCATCCTTTTAAAGTTTTATTCATTATTATAACAAATTTTCTTTCAACATTTACTTATTCATACAAAAAAATATTCATTGCATGAAAGCGCTATTGAATAAATAATCGACACCTTTAGCCAGTTGCTAGGTAAGGATTTCTGAGCGGACTGTGTATTGTACTGATTCGCAGATATACTTCGATTCCACTTACTGATATGTCGTTGCTGTGCGTTCGATAACGATTCAATATACCTGTAATTGACCATTTAATATAGAATCAATAACCAACGTTCGATCGACAAATAACAACTCACTTTAAATAAGCTTCGGAATGCATGACACGTTTGATATGAACATTATTGAATGGTGCCACAAAAACGGGCTCTTTTGCAGTCTGTATAATGGTTCGGCCGGGGTCAGCTATCGGTTGTTGCTGATAGGTGTTGATGGGTTGTATCGAGACGGCAGTGTACTGCTGGTTGATTGTCGACGTGGTTGTGGTGGGTAGTGGCGATGAGGACGATGCGAGTGTAATTGGCTGCTGATTGGACACTACCTACAATCAGAGTGGCATGATTAGACACTATCGCAATCGTTTAGATTGATGAATATAACCTGTCTAACTTGATGGTAGGGATGGTAAGCGTGTGAGTTGTTCGGAGTGTGCACGATCGCGTGCGGTGTTGTGGTGGCGATATACGCAGTCAGTGTTGAGCCGTTGTTGTTCGTGTTGCTGGTGGATGCTGCCGACGACACGTTACCGTTCATGTAGCCGTTCGTTACAATCTGCGATCCTGACGCTATGACCGCCTATAAAATCGCCACCCATCTTCAGTACCATCATCAAAACCATCACTGCACATCACAACAACAAACGCTAATACCTGAGTAACAAAACCACTAACAGGTGTATGACTAGTATTAATCGTGTATGTGCCTGGCTGTAACTGAGACTGTGGCACAGTCAGATATGTGGTCGTTGTCGATGGATTGTTATTATTATTGTTAGTGACATTTGAACAATTATTATTAAAATTAAGACTCGACGATGTCGACTGTTGCTGTGTTGATGAGCATGTGCCGTCATTATTATTATTATTAGTGTTGCTCGACTGTTGATTTGTATAATAATTCCTGTAANCATCATACTAAATAATAAACAAAACCGCTGATGATGTAATAAACAAAATAAGAAAACGCACTTGCTCCGCTGACTGGGATAAATGGATTTTGCAGCAGTAGTCAGATGCTTCTCTTTGATGTGGCGATGTAAACGCGGTAGTGATGGGAACGGCCTGAATTTCATTATGAACAATTTCATTATGTTGAGATCAATCAACAGACACCAGTAATTAAATCAACGCAAACTCACTTCCCCTCCTTCCGATACTTCAAACACGACGTCCACAAACAAACGTACTGATTCTCACCAACAACTGCAACAAACAACAACAATAATAATAGTAACGATAATGACGAAAAATAAAAACAACGAACCAATTTTTGAAGTGTGCGCATTTTTAATATGCTCATATAGTGCATCTGGATGATCGAACTGAAAATCACACGCTTGCCATTTGCACATAAATACACGAATTTGACCGGGCTGAAATAGCGTGTTTTAATGAGACTGAAAATACGATCACAATGCAGACAACAGATTAAGATAATAATATTCACGTGAAGACGTAGGTGAGTGGGTTGTTTTGCCTCTTGCTTTGCTCTTTCGTTCGCTATATATTCGGCACGAGTCTCGTATTGCTTCTTATGTTCATCTGAGAGCTTTTTCCACTGAAATATTTCATTATTATAACAGCAACACTTTAACAGCAATAACAATCACAACGATAACAAAAGCAACCCACCTCTATACCCACTATTTTACTGACTTCTCCGAAACCCGCTTCTGGATTCTCCTGCATGATTCGTTTACGGATCTCAGCACTGAATAATATATATCCACTCTTCGAGCGAGAACTTATCTTCGGCTGTGCATTCAACCACGACACTAACTCCTGCAACGAACATCCCTTTATCGTACCTCTACCCATATCATCAAATACTATTAATACCTTTCCCGGAGTATGCTCCAACCCATCCAGTGATTCAGAAGCAGTTTCATCCATATCATCTAACGGCTCGATTGGCACCGATGATGTATCCGTATGCATTAGTAACGGCGACATCTCCTTCATTATTATCACCAATTAATTATCATCAACACACGAATAAATAAACGAACAATTAAATGAATAAACGAATGCCTAAAAATAAACCTTTTCCATAGTGATCGGCGTTTTGAAAAGGTATATCTCGTTCTCTAATACCTCTGATGATAGGTGATATACCTTANCCTTCATTATTATCACCAATTAATTATCATCAACACACGAATAAATAAACGAACAATTAAATAAATAAACGAATGCCTAAAAAATAAACCTTTTCCATAGTGATCGGCGTTTTGAAAAGGTATATCTCGTTCTCTAATACCTCTGATGATAGGTGATATACCTTAAATTAAATCTTATCCAATTATCATCAAACATACAAAAATCGAAACGATCCTCGAATCGACATGTAATCAAGCAGCACCTTATCAAATCATATCTCCTTATCACTCACTCATTTCTCTCCCCCTCTCCACACACAAACACTCACACACACACATCACAATAGCTATCCATCCCTATTCTGTATTCAAATCATATACATAGCACCACTACACCAAACAATACACATATTATACATAACGTCAACGCAACCTCTCTTTCATTCATTCCCTTTCATTCAGCATCGCTCTCCTCTCTGCGCCTAATACCTCCTAATGTCCGATAGCCCTCTTTTCTGATCTCGTCTTTCACATAGCATGTACGCTCTCTAACGCAATATTCTCACACTCTAATACTCCACTGTGTGCTGCACATATCAACAATATACCACCGAACTGATCGATATTCCAAACACACACACATATATATATATACACAACGATGTGAACATGTGCATTCACAATGTCCTAAGTACTACAAATATATAAAGAACATCGGAATATAAGTAGTAATGCAAGAAAAAGTAACAATAAATCAATGAACCTTCAAAGATTTCAACTTTTTGGCCGACGATTCACTCATAGAATCTTCAGCGATCGCAGATGCATCCGTTACTTCATTCGTATTAAGCTCACTCCTCGATAAACTACTCTTATTATTCGCCGGTTCACTACCTGACACTTTGTACTCGACCACGTAAACATCCTTCTCATCCACTTCAGTTAAACGCACTGAAATTCAATCTTATCATCGTTTGATTGCACCGCAAAGCAGTAACAAAAACAATGAGAATCGATCGAACGCACGTTTCTGATAATCCTTGAGCAGGAGAACAGAACAATGTTTTTGTATGTTGAGCATTGGAAGGGTGATGTCTGGTTGCTCGATGGCGAATAACTCGTTCTTGTAGAACATTCGCGTCGGTTCGTGCTCGATCTCGGTCGGTTTCGCGAAATACGGACCCGAGAAATAGCAGTCGTCACTGGAATTACTTCTGGTTAGGTAGGTGAATAACGGACGTAAAGAAACGAACCTGTGAACACGCCACATCTTATCAATACGTAGAATCCAGATCGAGTTCTTGACCGGGTTGTAGACATAAACAAAATCACCCAGTTGATACCAATCGCCATTGTATTCCAACTGCTCGTAATATGTGATGTTTTCATCGTTCTTATTATCGCTATTCATCAGTGAATCTTCAATGATCACACATCGTTTTATTATCAGGTCGTTACTCTCTTACGAACACAACTCAAATGAAAAAAACATACTCGAATTATTTGTGCCAACACACACTTCAACTCGATGCTTCTGCAAAACTGCTGGTAACTTCTTCAGTCGGTCGTTTTCGGTCGACGACGACGTTGTCGAGTGTTGCGATAACTT